CTGGAATCCCCACCTCTCTTAACATGTCAAGATATTTTTCAGTTGTTAATGTCCCATCAAAAAATAAAGTCCTAAAATTCTTCCATTCCAAACTCCTGCCCAAACTGTAACACCTGACAGATTTAACTCTTCTTCTAAAACCTAGAACCCATACGATATATGTCTTATTTTCTTCAATACTCGGTTTTGCGGCAAACTTTTGCAGTTTTGGAGAACTATTGGCTTTGCGGCAAAGTCTCAGTAAGTCTCTTGAATAAGATATTATGATGCTCCATCCTCTCTCACATAAATTACAATACAAAAAGTGCAGTGAAGGAAACAAATAAAAATGTTGCCTGCGACAAAGAATATAATATGTATAATTTATTATATAATAATATAATAATAATATATAATAATATATTTATATATGTAGTTTAAAGATAATGAAATATTGAACCTTTAAAATACTAAATGTGTATATCATAACTAGTTGGTACGCCAACGCATTTTAGACATAAATACCATCTATTGTTTTTAACATGCAAACAAAATTTGAAGACATCTGGCACATTACATGTTAATCTAAATGATTTGCACAGCATCTGATGGACATAATTTATATAATACTAAAATCTCAGAATTTAAATTTTTTACTAACTAATCTTTCTTTATTCCACTCCTTTTACCCTTTCAGGTTCGGGATCTGGGGTATGAATATTTTTTTCATTCGCATCTTTCTTCCATTCTTTTCTATTTGCTGTATCTATATCTTTTTGGTTCTGCCTTTTTCCTTTTATGGTATTCTTAGGCTGTCTCACTAATTAAACTTTTCTCGGCACTGTCTCATTTTGTCTTTTCAACTCATCTTTCATAGGTGCCTCATCTCCATTGAATGAATTCTACTATTATCTTTTTTAAGTGTAGTATTCTCACAAGAATGGTGGCGATGCCCTACTACAGACACTGCATAAGCGTTTACTTCTTGTTTGGCATAATGAGACCATGCCTTGTGAATGGTCTCAAGGCGTGATATGCCCGTTACATAAAAAAGGTGACCAGCTCCAGTGTGACAACTATAGAGGTATAACCCTGTTAACAACTGCTTACAAAATACTAGCAAATATTCTCTACGAAAGGCTGCAAGTTTACACAGTGGGCATAGTTGGTAAATATCAAGCTGGATTCACTCCAGAAAAATCAACAATTGACCAGATTCATTCAATAAGACAGATTCTCGAGAAAACATTAGAATTCAATATTGAAACCCATCACCTATTCGTCGACTTCAAGGCCGCATACGACAGTGTCAAGAGAACAGTGCTATACCAATCAATGCATGAGTTTGGTATACCAGAGAAACTTATCCGACTAACGAGAATGACAATGTCTAACTTAGAAGCCACTGTTAGAATACAGGGTGAGAGTTCTAGATCCTTTGAGATAAAGGATGAACTCAGACAAGGGGATGCTCTGGCTTGCCTCCTATTTAATATTGCCTTAGAAAAGGCAGTCCGAGATACACGAATTAGGGATGGCGGTACTATTTACAATAGATCGATACAAGTCTTAGCATATGCTGATGACATTGACATAGTAGGGCGTAGCAAGCGAGATGTTGAGCAATATCTCCTAGAATTGGAAACAGCGGCGAAACAGGTCGGTCTAGTCATCAACGAAGACAAAACCAAGTACATGTTGGTTACAAAGGATCCGATAGCAAATGAGGAACGAGAAACAGTCTTTGGAAGTCATACCTTTGGACGTGTTGACAACTTCACATACCTTGGGTCGCTATTGACTGCTACCAATAAAACAAGCGAAGAAATCAAAAGACGAATAAATCTTACAAATAGGCCATACTATGGACTCCAAAAGCATTTCCACTCAAGAAACATTCAAAGAAGAACTAAAATTATTATATACAAAACATTGCTGAGGCCGATCCTCACATATGGAGCAGAAACATGCACTCTAACGCAGAAAGACGAAAGACTTTTGGGAATATTTGAGCGTAAAATACTCCGCAAAATATTTTTAGCTCTAAACGACCAAGGGCAGTGGCGCAGAATATATAATTTTGAATTGTATCAGCTCTTTGATGAGCCAGATGTCATAACGTTCATTAAAACACAGCGACTTAGATGGGCTGGACACATAATACGAATGCCAGAAAATACGATTGCTAAAAAGCTAACCACAGGAACACCTGTAGGAAAAAGAAGCAAAGGCCGACCGCGAATTAGGTGGTTAGATGGAGTTGAAACCGACTTACGAATATTAAAAATCAGAAAATGGCAACATGTTGCCAAAAACGGAACAGAATGTCGACGAATCTTAGAGCAGGCCAAGATCCACAGAGGATTGTCGAGTCAAAGATGATGATGATTCTCACTCGTATACAGTAACGTTGGCATCACTATTATATTGTATCTTTCTATCTTGGTTTCTTGGCCAATTCTCTTTTTCCTAGGATTGGAACTAGCGCGTAACAATTTGTTATTATTATTATTTTATTTCTATTTCTTTGTCTCTTAAAACTTATTAATGTAAATAAAAAACAATATTAGTACTTTTGGAATTCTTTTTGCCCTCCATGTTAGAAAATATTCTGTTCCGTAAACATTTTATAGAAAAATCTGACTCTATTTTTTCTTATAAAAAACTGGACGTTTAATTTTCATGGTTTATAAGTTCATCTTTTTGGAGCTGCATATCTTTGTAAGGTAAATATTTTGCAAAATTATCTGTAGAATTCATTTCCTTGGAAATTCATTCAGAAAAGTTCATTTAATTTATTGTAGATGAACTGATGATGTGTATGGATTCAAATACGAAACGTCTTCTTTAATAAAGGATGAAGTATCAAGTATCCTTTCTCTTTCTTCTCCAAATTTTGACAGACAACCCTCAAGTATCCTAGTGAACCACAGATTGTATACGTTTGTTATTTTCTGACCGTGAATTTTTAAATAGAAACTTTTTTAATTCCCGAGTTTTTCGGTATATTATAAAAAAAATAAGCACTTTATAATAAACATTAGATAATACGCTCTATATTTATTTCTGCACTTACATACGTACATTTTAACTGTTTACTATCATGAAATCGATTATAATCTTCAAATGTTTAACAGTTTTCATAATAGCAATCAATTTATGTATACATTAAAAGAAAACAACAAAATTACTTTTCTTGATTTAAGTTTAAAAGTATAAAAGCATAGACCGACTAGTAACTACTGTTATAGTTTATTCGTCTTCCGGGTTTGGACCGTGTCATTTGTGAGTGACCCAAAAGTAGGTTCATCTCGAAGTTTCGCTACAATTGTATGTAGCTTCTTCAGGAGAACAAAGAAAAAGAAAAAGAAGAAAACAAAAGACAGGAAGATGGGTAGTTAGCAACGGTAACTCAGTTACTCAACGTAACCAGAGGCGAATACTAACTACCAAGATGGTCATTTGGTCACAGTAACTCAACTACTCAACGCAGCCAGAGGTGAAAACCAAATGCCAGGACAGGGATTCACGTCCAACAGCTCAGAACACTAACGCGTCGAGAGGCGGGGAGTGAATCCGTTCAGGATTCACTCGTTTCGCGTTAGTGTTCTGAGCTGTGGACGTGAATCCCTGTCCTGGCATTTGGTTTTCACCTCTGGCTGCGTTGAGTAGTTGAGTTACTGTGACCAAATGCCCATCTTGGTAGTTAGTATTCGCCTCTGGTTGCGTTGAGTAATTGAGTTACCGTTGCTAACTACCCATCTTCCTGTCTTTTGTTTTCTTCTTTTTCTTTTTCTTTGTTCTCCTGAAGAAGCTACATACAATTGTAGCGAAACGTCGAGATGAACCCACTTTTGGGTCACTCACAAATGACACGGTCCAAACCCGGAAGACGAATAAACTATAATTCTGACTCTGGCCGTGGAAGCCTACGATTTCATAGTAACTACTGGTTTACAACAAATTTTTGGTCCAGAAGATATCAAAATTTTAATACCAACGCACCTATAACTCATAAAAGAAGTGTTTTATTAAATCTTACTGACAGAGCAATTAACCTATATGTAGGACTACCTAGCCCACAATACCATTTCGAAAATTTGAAAAAAGTTAGATATCTTAAATAAAATGATCCAATAGAATGTTGAAACCGTCTAATTAAAAAAGAAGTTACATTATTAAAAATCGATCTAATTTCTATGCCAATTAAAAAAAAAACCTTATACCTAGCATTAATAATACCACACGTTAATAAATTCTATGAAAAAATATCGAAAATGATGGCAAAATATGACATCAATGTTGGACAAAAATCATAAAAACATCTGAAAAATATTTTTCAAAATTTAAATCCGACGTTACTGAACCTCATCAGTAAGATGCTGTTTATAAAATAAATTGTAAAGACTGTAACAACCTATATTGGACAAACAGACCAATATCTACATAGAAGGGTTGTTTCACACAATACAGTTTACAACAAATTAAGCAAGAATTAGCCAAGCATTCTCTAGAAAATAGCCATTCTTTTGATTTTGTAAATGTACAAATTTGGGAAAAAGAACAAATGTAGACAAATACGACCCTGAACCAGTCGTAGTTTATAAGTAATTATAACTAAGTACCTGCCATGCGACTTTAGGGTCAAATATCACTTTTGCATTCCATCGCAAACTAGCAAAAAGTCAGACATAAATATAAAGTGTGTTATGTAGTATTTATATAATTAAAGAGCTTATTGAAAATGGCAAATGACCAAAACGTTTAATCAATAATTAAGTGATTTATTTATAACAGACCGACAAACCCAAAAAGTTTCTATTTATAATAAATCTCATCTAGATCAAACTCAAATCATAGTCAATAAGTGGCATCCGTCATGTATTTCATTATCACTCTATTTTAATTTTAATTACAGAATACTAAATAAGTAAATACACTAAGCAAAATATTTTGTTGTGAAATATATTGTTTGTTATAAACGAGTAAGACACTTTTTCGCAATGTTTCGATTTTTATAGTTGCAGGAGAAAAGGCTCAGAGAAGAGGTAGTGTCGGCTCCCTAGATAGCGGAATGTCGGTTTCATTCCAATCCACATCAGCCAGTTCCTGTTCAAGATCTGACAAACTAGCTGGCAAGCAACCGGGAAAATCGGGAGTTCATAGTCACCAAGGCCACCAAGGATTCCTAGGAGGAATTTTCAAAAAGCAAAGCGCAGCTGGCTCCAAGTCTACAGAGGTGTAAAAGTTTTTATGTTTTTCTCTTACAGTGGGTAGTGTTAATTGGTGTACTGCTCATTTTTTGTTACCAAGTTTTTCAAATTTTAACCAAATTTTATTTCGATGCCCTTAGGTAAGTCTGTTATAATACTCATCAGAAGTAGATATATTTGATATTTATTTGCTTTGAAAAAATCTAAGTCCAATATATCTGTCCCTGCCTGTAATGTTCAAATGGTCAGAAAAAGTTATTTATCTCATAAAATTGATATTTTTGGATGTACGATCTTTTGTTTACGGGAGAGAAGTGAAAATGTTTCTCGCTGTAGAACACAAAACCTATAATAACATATATGCTCTTGCTTCAAAGTTCGAAATATGTACAACTTTATATTATATAGTAAGCAGGGTATGTAAATGTAAAAAATAAATTTGGCACTATTTAATTTGTTAGATGTTATTTAATTTTCAAGCATTTGGATGGTATTATAATAGACAGAATGTCTATTTAGCACATATATACATTAATATATAGAATTAATTCGGTTTATTTAGTGAAATTGTTACATCTCACCATGTACTTTTCCATTTTGATACTTATCAGTGTTTTTTTACTAAATTGTGTAACTGTTTTTGATATATCACATGAATTCGTGAATTTAATTGTAACTGTATATATCTAATAATAACATTTATGTACCGAATTTTTCACTGTTTAATATTTTTGGAAAAAGTTAGTGTCCGTTTTTTAAAAACATTACCACAATGCAGGGGACTGTCTTTATTTATTAAATCGCACTAAATATCGATGGATTTGTTCTAGTTGCATATATTATGCGTTGAAGATGTGATTTGCTATTTTAGTGGTTAATATTTATCTTAAAGTACCACCGTAGTATTTTTTCTATACAGTTAGCAGTATTATTGAATTTAATTTAATATGTTAAAAAATTCAAATCTGGAGTTATGGGTCCATAAATATTAAACAATTTAAATTCGGAATTTGAGGATTTGCAAGTCATTTTTAAATATAATTAAATTCTAAAATCGCTTGTTTTTTGGTATAAATAACGCTCTAATTCTTAATAAATAAATCCTAATGAATAATTACAATGAATAATTGTAGAATAATTTGATATGAAAAGTAAATTGGTGTTTTGTATAAAGAGTGAATCGTACTATACTATACTGATGACATTGGTGTTAAACTTACCTAGAACTAAATTAATATTAAAATAATCGTATGCAATAATCCATATATTTCCAAATACTACGAAGTTAAAGTTTTCAATAAAAACCAATTTATTTCGAAGTCTAGGTAAATTAAAAACGAATAAGTCCGAATCATTTATATTTATTTTGTTTGTGTGGTTTACTTTATGTGTTCTAGATTAATGCATAATAGAGATGAGTTTCACATCCTGAGATGTCACAATCGCAAAGTGCAACAATGAAATGTGTCAGTCATTGCTACATGTTATTGAATTTTAACATTAAACCAGGTAATACAGTTTATGTACAATGCTAGACAGCTACAATGATAGTCGCATTCAATTAAACTTGAAATTCAGTATGTGGCGAATTAAACAAACAATGGTCTATTACGAGATAATTAATAATAATTAAAGTAATATCGACTATATTTCCTTCGATAGCCCTGGCGAGATAAATAAACTTTAACCCATACAAAAACATTGTAGAGGTTTGAGATAAAACTAGGGTTGGACTTACCTGTAAATTCAGTGGTCTTTTTACACTATTTTACAGCAACAACGAACAAGCGAATTGGACATGTGTATTGGTAGATTCTCTATTTGCATCTTCAATCTTTAGACACTAATAAAGTGCCAAAGAGAATTACGGCAATTATTATTAATAAATACTACAAGACCGTAGGAGTGCCATTATTTGAAAAGTTGTACATACACGTTACATTCCTGTGTAGTTTTGTTGCCACTCACGAGATTATTTTTTGTAGAAAGTTACTCCGTCTTCCCTCCTTTTTTAATTGTATAAATCTGTTATTCTTTTATTCTATTAAACATATAATTTATCATTAGATTTTCATCTCATTCTTGGTCTGATTGGTGTATGTTCCGGTATGGGTTTTATTTCATAATTTTTTATTGCATTTTAATATCCCATTATTTGAATGTGTTGGTGCAATTGAATTGAAATTGTTGTACTTACAAAGTGAAACAAAATGAATGCAACAATCTCGAAATTGAGATATGTGAAAGAACTTAGGAGCTGTATGCTAGTTAATTACAGAGATAGAAACGTTAATTCTACAAACAAGACGTAATAAATACTATGTAATCTCATTGGATTATTTTGTCACCTCAAATCTACAACCAGGTAACTCATATTCAAAGTTTTTGCAAGGTTTGAATTTCTTTGTAGCGTAAAACTGACATAATTAACATTTTTACCTTCTCTGCTGACCATCCATGATGGATTTAATAATGGACGTATTTTACGAGATTGGGAATATCTGAAGAAACATCGGAAAACTCCTAGTTATCTAGTTATTGCATTTGTAGGCTTTATACAAAAATCTCAGTTATGTACTTAGTGCACTAGACAGGGTGTGGCGCGACAAGTTTTGATTAAAAGTAATGGCAGATATAGTTATGTTAAAAATCTGAAATTACGGAGCTGTAAGTTTTCGATGACGCTAACTTGAAATATAATGTTGTCCTGAATGTGGCACTTTCGGTTATACAGGAAGTAGATGTCAGCTGTGTTATTTTAAATAGAACTTAAATTTTTTTAATTTATTTTCGAATTTTGCATATTATTTTCTTTGCATATTATCTATCTCTAAATACTATAAATCCTTTTGATGTTTTTTAATTTTGGAAATAGGGTCGCATTATACCTTCCTTTGTCGTAACAGATTTGGAAAATATCTCATTTTTAATGTAACCTCAAATACCAAAATCTAAAGAAACCCAGTCAGGAGAGTGAGCAGGCCAACGAAACGGGCCCTGATTGGCAATCCATGTATCATTAAACATGTCGTAAAGATGCTGAGCAACTGGTCCATAATTCCTCTCCATTTATCATTTAAATTTTCATCATAAAATTTTAATGGTAAAATCGTATCGTCTTTTATTGCACAAAAAACATTAAAACTCCAACCATCTACGAAATAACATTCTCTACTAACATGTGGATCTTCATTAGACCAAAAATAGGAATTATGTAGATTAAATAACTCATTTTTACTAAACTTTGCTTGATCAGACCATATAACTTTTTATAAAGTTTTCATCTCTCTAACATTCTGTGATGGAGGTATTTGGAGAGTCCGAAAAATAATCCAAAACGTTAAATTCGTTTATATCATTAATTCGAAACCACTAGTGGTTTCTTTTTATTAATTTTTGTCTTAAATTGACCAAACTGGCGACAGTTTTTAACCGTCTGACTGGGACATGAGTAGTCCATATGGCCAACTCATTGAAATATCAATGAGTTGGATATATGGAGTTAACAGTCGAGCGCTTGCTGTTTATTGGTTACAATTTCTAGAATCGTGATTAATGGAGATATCTTTATTCAATGTGGACTAGGATTTTTTAAAATTTAGTCAGAAATCGAAGTATAGGACATTGTGCACAAATTTTGTCTAAAATTTCATGTAAAATTCGAAAATAAAATAAAAAATATTAGGTTCTATTTAAAATACCAAAGTTGACGTCGTCTACCGGTATATCCGGAAGTGGCACATTATATTTCAACTCAGTTTAATTCAAGTTGTCAAGTTGTGATACATGTCAATGTGACATGTATCGTCTGGCGGACTGTATCCGCCATTACTTTTAATCAAAACTTGTCGCGCTACACCCTGTTTACTTTTCCTCTATTTATATCTTTGGCTTCTAGCTGTCTCAACATATAAAGTTTTGTATTCTGAGTAATATTTTCATTTCATTTTCATGATTATGTATTTTTGTGGTTTTTGTTTTCTCGGTTAACGTGTTTTTTTAATTGATGTTTTGTCTTTTCCATCTTTTTGTGGCGGGCTTGTTTTCTATGACAATCCTTATTAAATCGGCTGCAATCGGGTAGCTATAATTCTAGTTATTAGTTTTAAGGTTCTATCTAGGAAACTTATTACCCATAATTACTAGGATCTTCTCTTTTTTTAATTGCTTGTTTGTTTTATCGAACAGAGTGAATCAGTAGTTGTAATAAGTAGTAAATATAATATACACGTGTTCGTTTAAACCAACATTGTGATGACCAGGCGAAATATTACTGTTAAATTTTATTTTTGCATATCATAAGTTATCCTAATTGCAATATAATCTTTTGGTAGAATGACAAATACGAGCTTCACTAGACTTTACTTGCCTATTACAGCTGTATTAAATGTCATGTATAGTTGGTATTTATCAGAAATATATGATTTCTTATGTCATCAGTTGTTTCGTATCAAGATATAGTAGATAATTTGATCGATCAATTTTAGTATTTTTGTCCATATTGATAAATATTATTTATTTTGCCATTCTAAATAGAAGACAATTCTCTACCAGTTTGTTTTTTGTATATTTACATTTGTTTGTATAACTTGTACTGGATAAAGTTACCCTGTGTATAAAATACTACTATATAACAAGTAATCTATTTGTTTTTATATTTTAAGTTGTGCATGACAAAAGTAACCAAATATATTTTCACCATTTTTAAGTGTTATACTTTGTTTTATTTTTATCCTTCTTCAATTCTTCGTCATTCTAACAATTACTACGAAACTATCATTGCGACAAATACTAAGTGGATGAAGTATGTCCCCGTCTACATACGTAGCAAATCCTACTGACGATGGGATGATCGAAGGCGATTGTCTAGCGCCTTAAATCTTAAACATGTATGTATGTTATGAATACCTTCTACAAAAAGAAACCTAACAGAAAGTGGACATGAGTCGCACCTAACGGAACTACCAAAAATGAAATAGACTATTTTCTCTCAAACAACAAAGCAATATTTGAAGACGTCAAAACCATAAACAACGGGCAGTGACCATCGTATAGTCAAAGCAAAAATAAATATTAACATGAACGAAGAGAGAAAAAGGATTTTTAAAAAAACAACGATAAATGCCTTTAAACTAAGAACAAATGAAGAGCAATTCCGAGAGGTCTTAGCGGATAAGTTCGAATCTGATCCTTCACATAATCAAGATCAAATTGACGAGATTAATAAAAACCTAAATAAAAACCTTCTCGCAGCAGGACTACAGGTCGCAAAGAAAACAAGGACTAAAGAAGACAAAATATGCAATGAAACTAAACAGCTAATGACAGAAAGAAGACAACTACTAACGCAAAACAAACGATATACTCAAGAATATAGAGAACTTAATAAAACAATTAGAAAAGAACTAAAACGCGACATACAAAAATGGAACGAGAACTTAATAGAGCGAGTCATTGAAAACAACAGAGGTTTAAAATATCTAAGACCCGCACTGGGAGTTCAAAAAATCATCAAAATTAAAGACGCTAACAATAAGGTAGAGAAGGACAAATATAAAATAACAAATATTGTCGAAGACTTCTACACATCCTTGTACAGCTCGCAATGTCAGCCTAATGAAACAACAAAGGAGAACGTCAAAAGAAAAATGAAAAAAACGTGGGATCAGAAGTACTACCAAATATAAAGGGATACGAAATAGAAAGAGCTTTAAAAGAACTAAAAATAATAAAGCTCCAGGACACGACGGTATAATTGCCGAGCTCTTGAAAACAAGCAAGACATTAACAGTCCCAGTACTAACAGAGCTATTTAATAGATGTCTCCATAATAGCCAGATCCCTAAAGACTGGAACGAGAGTCTAGTAATACTCTTACACAAAAAAGGGGACAAATGTGATCTACAGAATTATAGACCTATATCGTTGCTAACTCAAGTATACAAACTATTTATGAGAATTATTAATAACCGGTTAACCTACAAAATGGATAATTACCAACCGGTTGAACAGGCTCGCTTCCGCAAAGGATATAGTACATCAGACCATCTGCTGACAATGAGAACATTGATAGAGAAGGCAAATAAATACCAACTACCCGTATTTCTTACGTTCGTCGACTATGAAAAGGCGTTTGATAGTATCGAGATGTGGGCCATACAACAAGCTATTAATGATTGTAGAATAGACTCGAGATATAGGCAACTAATACATAATATATATATATATATATATATATATATATATATATATATATATATATATATGAAAATGCAACTATGATAGTACAACTAGACAAAAATACAAATCCCATCCCCATTAAGAGAGGAGTGAGACAAGGAGACGTAATATCGCCAAAGCTTTTCAACCTAGCCCTAGAAGACATCTTCAAAACTACAAATTGGTCAACCTATGGCATTAACGTTAATGGCAACAAGTTAAACCACCTCAGATTCGCTGACGATATAGTGATTATAGCGAGCACATTCGAGGAACTGCAAATTATGTTGGGGGAACTAGCAGCCAGCTCCCAATACGTCGGCCTAAAAATGAATATGAAAAAAACAAAAATAATGACAAACACAGAAGACCCAGACATATAACTATAAACGGCAGTGAGATAGAACAAATCCAGGAATATATCTACCTAGGCCAAATCCTGAGACTTGACAAAGAGAACCAAAGTGCGAAAATTACTAGAACAGCAAGACTAGCATGGGCAGGAGTTGGAAAACTTAGTTGGATACTTAAGAACCGCAAAATACCCCAATACTTGAGGAGAAAAGTGTTCAACCAATGCATCCTTCCTATCATGACATATGGATGTCAAACCTGGACCCTAACCAAGGCAAACATGAATAAACTAGCCACAACAAAAAGAACAATGGAAAGAGCAATGTTAGGTATACGACTGTCAGATAAAAAGAGGAACGACTGGGTAAGATCCAAAACAAAAGTCGAGGACAACAATAAAAATTGCAAAACTTAAATGGAGCTTCGCGGGCCACACTGCTAGACAGAAAGACCAACGTTGGAATACTACAATACAACATTGGAGACCTTACGAAAGTAAACGACCAAGAGGAAGACCACAGATGAGATGGGTTGATGACATTAGAAGAATAGCCGGAACAAATTGGAAATACGTTGCTTAGGATAGAGACCGATGGAAGGAGTTAGGAGAGGCCTATGTCCGAACATCGACGACAGAAGGCTAAGAAGAAGGAATGGTAACCAATGGCCGTTCCTTAATAAGAATACATAGTCAGGTGCACTCCAATTTTGAAGTTATAAACTTCACAAAACGAATCATGAGATACACATCGCTATTGCACCTGATAGGTGCAACTAAGCAACCCGCTTTTCAGCTTTTCCGCTCTAGACCGGATTGATAAGCTCACCCGTGTGCATACTTTTAATGTACTCAATGAGATATAACTGTTGGCGGTTTTTCTTTTGGTTAAGAACAATTTCAGAATGACGGTATAAGAGCTAGGCCACTTAAGAGACCTGATGGTAACTTTGACGAATCTAAAAAAGGATACAGTGGATCTCTTATACAGAACCACTTGCCAGGTTCAATAATTATTGATTGATATTCAGGCTGAAAACCTAGAACAACCTACACGTCCTATGAAAGAAGACTAGGAATTATCTGCAAAAAACATTAAACTAAGATCGTTAACGCTAGCATTTTACTAGGATATGTACTAAAGACTTGGATAACTATAAGGGTGGTGTACATATACAACAAAGGACAAGACAATCTCATACCTAAATCCTATAGGCTGATCAGTCTTACATCGTTTCTGTTGGAGAGAATAGAAAAAAATCTTGATAAGCATATTAAGGAGGGGTCATTGAGAGATTTATCCTCTCATTGGTAACCAGCATGCATATTAAGAATAAAAATCAACAGAAACAGCACTGAACGAAGTAGTTTAGAAAATCAGTCATTGAGAGATTGCATTTACCACCTTCCTAGATAGTAACAAACACCAACATATCAAAAAAAAACCTCATGGTTTAGAGAAGAAGTGAAGACAAAACGTGAAGTAAAGAAGAAAACTTTTTTACAATACCGAACACAACAGTCATACAACCACTATAAACGAGTCAGAAATGAAATCAATACTTTAGTTAGACAAATAAAAAGGGAGCACTGGCAGAACTTCTCAAAACAGATGAAATACAGAAAGAAATATGGAGAATTATCAGTTAACAAAGAAAATACAGAACCGAACTAATAAAAACGAAACACATTTAGAAGGAAACATGGGCAGACTACTTTCGATCCCCATTTGCTAAAGGTGACTATAATGAACCACCAACACCAGAGGTGACGGTAAATAAAGAAATAAATATTGAGGAGGAAGCATTAAGGAAATTAAAAAACAAAATCACCAGGAGAGGACAGAATACCGAACGAACTTCTAAAGTACGAAGTAGCACTACTAAAATTAATCTAAAAAATAACGGAACAAAACCGAATTCCTCAAAAATGGAGATCAAGCATCCTAATACCTCACTTTAAAAAGAGAGACAAATCGAACCCGGAAAATTACAGAGGAATTAATTTATTCAACACAACATTAAAATTATCAACTAAATTGATAACAAATAAACTGTATTAAATTATGACACTAGCAAAAGAACAGCAAGGTTTTAGGTCAGGAAGATCATGCACCGACGCTCTATTTATAATGAGGCAATTGCAAGAGAAATCATTAGAATACAACAAACAGGCTTATCTATGTTTCGTGGACCTTAAAACCCGGCGTCACATACGTGGATTTTCTGTCATTAGTACATATGTGGGGTGTGACAAACCCCAATTTCTAAGAAAATCAGAATTTTTTCTGGCAGTTTTTTTATATGTTTTCTAATTTCATGGTCTGAAGTGAACATATAAGGACTGTTTAAGCAAAAAAGAAATAATCAGAACACTTTTATACAAAAGAAATTAAAAATAAACTAATAATAGGCAATTCTCCATAAGCAAAAACCACAACTTAACTGAACAATCTTACCAAAAAATATAAACACCATATGAACAAAAATACAATATTCACAAGGAATCTACGTTCCTGTAGTTGGCTGTATTACCATGTATTAAAAATTTAATTAAAAATCCTTTGTAATAGGTATATATTTAAGGCCCAAACGGGCTAAGTTAAAAAGACATAACGTTTTCGGAAACCATGTTCCATCATCAGTGTCCTAGAAAATAGTTAACCACTTAATTAAAAAGAACATAGGTTAAAATTTTGACTAAGGTTAATGAAAAATGTGGTTAATTAATACTTACTAGGAGTACATGAATGTAGCCACCAAGATTAAATATATGGGTAAAAACCCGTTAACAGATGTTTAATTAGGTACATTTAGTTTTAAAAATACCTAAATTATAAATAACAAACAAACACTGACCGATTCTGTCTACAAAATTTAGTAGCCGGATAACAGAAATGTGAGAGGATGGTCGTAGTATCAATCAGTCTGTGGCATGAAATAGCCATCGAGCAATAAGACAAAAGAGGGAATCTAATCGTTATGAAAAGGAGACCAAAAAAGTGGCCTCTGATGGCGGGCATATCCGGAAATGCAAAGGCGCTAAATTTAAATTTTCCAACACTTGTTAACAATACCTGTAAAATATTTTTCAGACAAGAAAGTTTTAATTAAATATTAACGATAATAGTCTAAAAAGTGAC